TTTTTTTACCACTACTTCTAAATTGTAGTTGTCTTTAGTAAGAGTTAAATATTCTAGAGACTAATCCTTCAAAATCTAATTTTAATTATATATACAGTTTGAGATTCTCAAATTCAAAATTCTGAAACCCAAAATGCTCCAAAATCCAAAACTTTTTGAGTGCCAACATGATGCTCAAAGGAAATGCTCATTTCAGATGTCTAATTTTTAGATTTGGGATGCTCAACCAATAAAAGTATAATGCAGGCTGGGCGTGGTGGCTCACGCCTGTAATCCCAGCACTTTGGGAGGCCAAGGCAGGCACATCGCTTGAGGTTAGGAGTTTGAGACCAGCCTGGCCAACATAGTGAAACCCTGACTCTACTAAAAATACAAAAATTAGCTGGGTGTAGTGACTCACGCCTGTAATTCCAGCCACAAAAAAAATCCAAAATCCAAAACACTTCAGGTTCCAAGCACTGTGGATAAGGAATGCTCAGCCTCTACTTAAGTATATTATAAAATGCACATGCTTCATGAAAATTCATATGTGAAACAAAACTTCAAATTACTAATAAATTTCACTAACTCAGCTAAACCAAAGACATTTAATAACTAAAGAAATATGAAGAAGAATGGTATAAACACAAGACCAATACTTTCTAACAGAACTGAAAAGAATACTGTTTGCAACTTTCTTAGAAATAATAGGCCAGGCGCGGTGGCTTATGCCTGTAATCCCAGCACTTTGGGAGGCCGAGGTGGGTGGATCACGAGGTCAGGAGTTCAAGGCCAGCCTGACCAATATGGTGAAACCCCGTCTCTACTAAAAATACAAAAAGTAGCCAGGCGCGGTGGCAGGTGCCTGTAATCCCAGCTACTTGGGAGGCTGAGGCCGGAGAATCGCTTGAACCCAGGCGGCACAGGTGGCAGTGAGCCGAGATCATGCCACTGCAACTCTAGCCTAGGTGACAGAGTAAGACTCTGTCTCAAAAAATAATAATAATAATATTCATTCATAAATGCCCAGTACTCAAAAAAATTATAATTCCTTAATCCATAATTTTAGGCTTAGTAATTCTTTTCTGAATAATATAAATTACATTAGTTTGCTGGAAACTGTGAAATATTTCTACATTAATATCCATCATTTACTCGAGCCAAAAAAGCATTTCAAGAAATTACTCTATTTCTTCCTATTAATTCCTGATTTAACCAGTTTACCAACTGTGGTTAAACGTTTACCCAAAAGAATGTCTTATCAGTTTCATGTCACAGATAGTAGTCATCAACAAAAGGATATTCCAAACCATTTTTCTATATTGCTTACAATTTAAGCAATATAGATAGAGATTCTATTGCTTATAATTTAAGCAATAGAGATTCTATTTCATTTCTTTAAAAAACATAGCAAGCACTATTACTACATTGAGTGGTTTTTGTAGGTTTTGTAAAGCTGTATATAAGAATAACTTTCCTAAACTGCTATTTAATTTTGGGATCAATTATTTAAGTATGTTTGGAGGAATATGCAATGATTATCTAAAAATCTATAAAATAAGGACTAAGAGTTTAGAAATTATTATGTGAAACAATGTAAACTTGTGAGGTGCTAGGGCAGCCTTCTTTTTTTTTTTTTTTTTTCTGAGATAGAGTCTTGCTCTGTGGCCCAGGCTGGAGTGTAGTGGCGTGATCTCAGATCACTGCAACCTCCACCTCGCAGGCTCAAGCAATTCTCCTGCCTTAGCCTCTTGAGTAGCTGGGACTATAGGTGTGTGCCACCACATCCAGCTAATTTTTCTATTTTTAGTAGAGATGGGGTTTCACCATGTTGGCCAGGCTGGTCTTGAACTCCTAACCTCAGGTGATCCACCCACCTTGGCTTCCCAAAGTGCTGCGATTACAGGCGTGAGCCACCACGCCCAGCCTAGGGTAGCTTTTAACATGCATTCCTATCACACAGAGGTAGGAAAGTTGAATATTATATTTCCCAACCTCCCTTGCAGCTAGGGCTTCAGATATGATTGGTCCAGTCCATCAGATTCACTCACTTGAGACTTTTACTTAGAACCAAGTAACATGGGGACAGAGGCAGGAAGACATGTATCTATTTTTGCTGGCATAAAGAATGGCAGAGGTGGTGTGGCTCTGGAACTGGCAACTGTTCACAGCTTCCTAGTCCAGCAGGCAGCTTCCTAATCCAGCAGGCAGCTTCTTGATTGTTCTAAAAGCGGCAGCTCCTTCAACAGCCTACTCTTGTGACATAATTCCTAGAAGCTCAGCCTAGGTCTGTTTCCTCAGCCCTCCCATCGATTCTGTGACCTATCTATACTCATTCACCAATTCCTTCTGTTTAATACCTAAAGAAGATTTCATTGCCTACAGCCAAGAATCTTGACCTATACAGAATTTGGCAGCTAGAAGTAAGGCGCAGCAAGTCAAAGGCCCTAAATCTGGGGTTGGCTTAGTTGAGGAGGTAGGGCTTTGGGCAGTGAGACTTTTGCCAACAGAGGTCAAGATGAGGTTGAGACTTCCTGCCACAGAGACGAAGGTGGTAGAACTTCAGAGTGCTAGCATGTGTTGGCTGCTTCTTGCCTCTTTTCAGCAAAGCCCTAAAGAGATATGTGACTTGGACTAAGGTTAACACGTCTGCAGTGATGCAAGGGAAAATAGCTTTGCTGAGAGAATTGCTCTTTGTCTACCATATAAATTGACCAAGACCCAAATCTGGAGCCCTGAAGAATTGAAAAAGTCAAGTACTACTGTACTCCAAAGTGAAACATTTATAAGTAAAGGCTCTGAGGGAGCTACTAAAACTTTCTCAACCTTTTTCAAGAACGTTCCCTTAGAATTTTCTGCCAAATAATAGGAGTCATCCTAGGGGAAGAGACCAGATTAAGACTATTGCCATTCCATGCAAGCCTACAGTTTCAAAGGATCTCAAGGAGGTACCATTCCTGTGAGAACAAAGAGGATGGAGAGCACACAGAGGCCAGCAAGTAAATGATGAGGTTCTTTGTTAAAAACAATGTATTTTACCTTGGTTAAAACTGTCCATGGAAATGACTGAAGACAACAGACCAGAAACTTACTAAATTTTTAGGAATCCACTTGGCCAAGAAACAGAACAAAACAACAACAAAAACCCAAACCTGGCTTGCAACAGATCTATACTGTTACAGATCTGTACTCTAATTCCCAAGCCTGCCCCCAGACACAATTATAGGAAATAAACTGCTAAGGCTGCCCAGCCTCCAAGAAGGATATACTTTCCAATGCCCATGCAGACTGTGTCTGAAAATTAATGTACAATAAAAACCACCCAGAAAGTAAAACCAAGGCCCCCTGAGGACATTAGATAAAGAATTCCTCTCAGAAAGGTGAATCAGGGGTTGCCTGATGGGCAAACCAAGGAATATATTCATGAACTACAGCAGAGAGATTTAATTATTTTTGCCAAGCAGTACTTTCCAATTGCTATGGATCAGTGGCCACTGTATTTCTAATTCTCCCCTTTTCTAAAAGATCCATTTTAGGGGTCCTGGGCATGGTGGCTCACACCAAGTGATTCCAGTGCTTTGGGAGGCTGAGGGGAGAAGATTGCTTGAGACCAGGAGTTTAAGACCAGCCTGAGCAACGTAGCAATACTTCATCTCTACAAAAAAAATGTTTTGCCAGGCGTTCGTGGCGTGTGCCTGTAGTCCTAGCTACTAGGGAGACTGAGGTGGAAGGATCACTTGAGCCCAGGAGTTCAAGGCTGCAGTAAGCTATGATCGTACCACTGTACTCTAGACCAGACAACACAGTAAGACCCTGTCTCTAAAAAGCTTCAAAGTGAGTTTTCCTGCACCTTTGCATTATGCATCTGGCACTCTTGGGGCAGAAAACTTGTCTTTCAGTTTGTAGGTGGCCAGAACACAAGAAGCCACACCCTAACATGACGGAGGGGACTGCCTCCAGATAGCATCGTCTTTCATCTAATATGCAATAATGGGCTGGATTTCTCGTGGTTTCTCTTCAGGGAGAGAGGGGTGAGTGTTTTCTATCTCGGAAGAAGATGGTACACAGAAATTTAGGTAGCCAACAAGGGTGGCTGAGGTTCAAATTGAAAGTTGCCTACCAAACATTCCCTCTTCCCTTCTTCCTTAGTAAAATAATCCAACTTTTAGCTGGTCACATTGCCACATGGACTTCTCAGCCTCCCTAGCAGCTAGGTGTGGCCATCAGTGTGACCCAGTTCTGGTCGAGACATAAGTTCAGGTGCTACTGGTTCTGGAAAATGGCCTCAGGGAAGCTGACTCAAGCAGAGAAAGTCCAGTTTCTTGCTTTCCCCACTGCCTCCAGGAGCAAACTTGAACAGTGAGAGTGAGGTAACCTGAGGATAAAAATCATGCACTGAGGATAGCAGAGCAGAAAGATAGGAACCTGGACACCACCTACTTCTAGACTTCTTTTATGTAAGAAAAAAACTCCTATTTAGTTTAAACCACTGTTATCTTTGGTTTTTCTGTTATATGTAACAGAACCTAATCTTAAATGATAAAGTATAGAGCAAAATAAAAAAGAATGAAAAATGACCTGAAATGGTAGCAAAAATGATTCAGGTGAAGAATTTCTAGCAGTTGAGGTTGCCAAAAGTAGAAAAAAGTTACCAGGAAACACAGGGAAATACTATGGCCTTTTCAGAATTGTTAATATCAAAGAAATATTTATTGAAAGAATGATAAGCACCCATAAAAGAATATCTACGTTTATGAGTGAGAGCAATCTAATTTAAAAGCAAGAGGCAGAGTTTTCTCACTTAAATAGCTCCTAATAGTTTCACTAAATTATGGCATAAAGCCACTTAATTAAATCACTAAAGGAGAACAAAAAAAAAAAAAATAGAAGAGACGTGTGAATGTGAGAGCAGACAGTGAGTTTGTTTTCTTCCTGGTTCTGATAGACTTCAATCCTTTAATATCTGGGTCCCCAAAAAAGTGTTTTCATTTAAAAAGTATCTTCCTTTATTTCAAATATGCTTTTAAAATATTTATTGAGCAGAGAAAAAGGAAGGGAGCTAAAAAGATGAAATAGATGTTGAGTTAACAGCTTTCTTCCGAGCTCTGGTGGACTTCAGACTTTAAATGTCTGTTGGAAAAAAAAAAAAGTTCTTATTTTAAAAGTATCTTCCTTTATTCTGAATGTTCTTTCATATACAAATATACTTGTTTTAAAAAATATGCTTAGCTAATTATAGATTACAATTTTTAAAAACATGTTCTCTGGTAAGATTAATATAATTAGAAAGAATTACAAATAATGTTGAAATAAATCATTTTACCATAAATATGGTTATCAAATTATACAAATGATACAGCACTTAAAATCTGCTGCTGCATAAAACTTTTGGAGGCATTTTCATTTTTCTGTAATCTAAATTGCTCTAATACTAGAAAAAACACACAGAAAATAACATACTACCTTAATGACTTGAAATTATATTTGTAATAAATGTGGACTTCAATTGATACAATAATTTATTTTCCTAAATAAATAATCAAACAAAATTACATACGTGGCTCAAACTTCAATTCTCCAGCTGGCCCTGATGGAGGAATTCCTTGTTGTAATTTTTTTTGTTCCATCTGCTGTATGACCTGGTGAATGGAAAACGAAAGTTAAAAGTATAACTTGATTTTCTATCATATGTGTGACCTTTGACAAAGCACAACAAAGTAACTGAAAATTGTTTTCTAAAACAAAGATATTCAAACGATAAGATTTAGATTTGACCAGGTGCAGTGGCTCACGCCTATAGTCCCAACAATTTCAGAGGCCGAGGTGGGAGGATCACTTGAGGCCAGGAGTTCGAGACCAGCCTCAGCAACATAGTGAGACCTGGTCTCTACAAAATATATTAACATTAGCCAGGAAGACTGGCATACACCTGTAGTCCTAGCTACTGGGGAGGCTGACGTGGGAGGATCACTTAAGCCCAGGAGTTTGAGGCTGCAGTGAACTATGATCACAGCACTGTACTCCAGCCTGGGAGACAGGCTGTCTCAAAATAAAATAAAGTAATATAAAATAAAATTTAGATTAATATTCCACAAAACAGTTTTAAAGTATTAAAATTTAAAATACTATAGCAATAGCAGTGTACTATAGTACAATGAAATATGTTACAAAAACACAGGCTTTTAACAAAGAACCTAAAATCTTTTTTAATGCCATAATCTTTTGACAAAATGCCACCTGATGATATTCCAGCTTCTGAGCCTCCAGTTGATCATGCTGACGTTGTAGCTCTTCTTTTTGTTTCTGAAGCTCATCTGCCTTCTTCTTAAGTTCATTTTCTTGTAAAGCAATAATATTTTCATATTCTTTTAGTTCTTCCTCTGTGAAGAACTGTTGCTGATCTAATGTCTAAAAGAAAAAAAATGAGGAAAGAATAATCTCAAAACTACAACAATAAAGTCTGATTGAGCTTTAAAATTCTATGGTTAGCAAAGTATAAAAGAGTATCTATAGGATTATGCCTTTGGGGTAAGAAGGAAGGGGAAATAAGTAATATATATTTATGTACTCATATGAACAAAAGAAAAAACAGGAAGAGAAACTCAGAGATTCTCTTCTGGGATTGACGACTAAAGGCAAAGAGTGAGAACTGGGTAAAAGAGACAAAGAGAACGTGGGAAGAGAAATAAAATTTATCATTCCCCCCCAATCCTCACTGAAACACCAAATTTTAACAGCTGTCTGCACACAGAAAAGCACAAGAAACAAACATCAGGTGAGCACTCAGAGTACCTGGTTTCAACTTCATATCACCTACAAAGACATTGAGAAGGGCCAAAGAGACAGTCTTGAATCACCTATGCCACCTCTCCCCCACTCCCTCGCAGCAGACCTGCAGCACAGAGAGTCTGTGCCCTCTGGGGAAGGAGCATAGCGACTAGGGGACTTTACATTGAACTCAGTGCTGCCCTGTCACAGCAGAGAATAAAGGTGTGCTGGGCTCCACCAGTGACCATGCATAGGAGCATTTGAACCAGCCCTAGCCAGAGGAGAATCGCCCATGCCAGCAATGGGTACTGAATTTCCTGGCAAGCCTCACCATGCGGGCTGAAGTGCTCTGGGGCCCTAGGTAAACTTGAAAGGCAGTCTAGGAAAGAAGGACTATAATTCCTAGGCAACTCCTAGTGCTAGGCTGGGCTGAGAGACAGTGAACTAGGGTAGCAGGTGACCAGGGGAGATACCAGCTGGTGAGGCTAAGGGGATGCTTGTGCTACCCCTCCCCCAACCTCAGGCAGTACAGCTTGCAGCTATGAAAGTGATTCCTTTCTTGAGGAAAGGAGAGGAAAAAGTAAAGAGGGCTTTGTTTTACATCTTGGATACCAGCTAAGCCATGGTAGGATAGGGCACCAGGCAGAATTGTGAGGTCCTGATTCCAGGCCCTAACTCCCAGGTGACATTTCTAGACATACCCTGGCCCAAAAGGAAAACTGCTGCCTTAAGGGAGCAGTCCTGGCAGGCTTCATCACTTGCTGAGTAAAGAGCCCTTGGGCCCTGAATAACCAGCGGCAAGACCCAGGGAGTATGCTCTGGGTCTTGGACTCTGAGACGTGCTGGCTTTGGGGTGACCCAGCACATTCGCAGCTGTAGTGGCTATGGTGAGAGACCCCTGTTTGAGGAAAGCAGAGGGAAAGTAAAGGCGATTTTTGTCTTGCACCCTAGGTACCAGTTTGGCCACAACAGGGTAGAGCAACAAGCAGGCTTTTGAGGTCCCCAAGTCCAGGCCTTGGTTCTTGGACAGCATTTCTGGACTCGCCTTGGGCCAGAGGGAAGCCCACTTCCCTGAAGGGTAAAGGCCTGGCAGCATTTACTGCAAGGTGACAGAAAAGCCCTTGGGCTTTCAGTAAATATCAGCAGTGGCTGGCAGAACCCTGTGTGGACCAGAGGTGGTGGTGGTAATGGCCACAGGGAGAGCATCCTCTGCCTATGGAAAGAGGAGTGAAGAACAGGAAGGCTTTTGTACTGTGGTTTGAGTGCCAGCTTAGCCACAGTAAAATAGAACATCAGGTAAATTGCCAGGGTTTTTTACTCCATTTCCTGGCTTCCAGACAGCATCTCTGGACACACTCAGGATTTGGGGGAACTTGCCACCATGAAGGAAAGGGCCTTGGGCAAGGCCCAGTGCCATGTTGGCTTCAGGCTTGACCCAGCACAGTTCCATGGTGATGCCCATAAGGGTACTTGCATCACCACACCTCCAGTTCCAGGTGGCTCAGCACACAGAGAGAGACCATTTGTTTGGAAGAAAGTAAGGGAAAAGAACAAGAGTCTCTGCCTGGTAATCTAGAGAATTCTTCCGGATCTTATCCAAGACCACCAAGATGGTACTTTTAAGAGTCTGCAAAAATCACAGAATTACTGGACTTTGGGCCCAAGTCCCGTGGAATACCTGGAAAGCTTTCTGAAGAAGGACATGCACAAACAAGCCCAGAATATGAAGATTATAATAACTTTCTAACTCTTCAATGCTCCGACACCAACAAACATCTACACACATCACCACCACCCAGGAAAACATGACCTAACCAAATGAATTAAATAAGGTATCAGGTTCCAATCCTGGAGAACCAGAGATATATGACCTTTCAGATACAGAATTCAAAATAGCTGTGTTGAGGAAACTCAAAGAAATTCAAGATAACACAGAGAAGGAATTCAGAACTCTATCAGATAAATTTAACAAAGAGATCAAAATAATTAGAAAGAATCAAGCAGAAATTCTAGAGCTAAAAAATGGAATGGACATGCTGACGAATGCATCAGAGTCTCTTAATAGCAGAACTGATCAAGCAGAAGAAAGAATTACTGAGCTTGAAGACAGGCTATTTGAAAATACAGAGGACGCAAATGAAAGAGAATGAAAAACAATGAAAGCATGCTTACAAGATCTAGAAAATAGCCTCAAAAGGGCAAATATAGGAGTTTTATTGGCCTTAAAGAGGAGGCAGAGAAAGAGATAAGGGTAGACAGTTTATTCAAAGGAATACTATCAGAAACATTTCAACATTCAAGTACAAAAATACAGAACACCAAGCAGATTTAACTCACGTCAGACTACCTCAAGGCATTTAATAATCAAACTACCGAAGGTCAAGTACAAAGAAAGGATCCTGGCCAGGCGTAGTGGCTCGCACCTGTAATCTCAGCACTTTGGGAGGCAGAGGTGGGCAGATCACTTGAGACCAGGATTTCAAGACCAGTCTGGCCAACATGGAAAAACCTCATCTCACCTAAAAATATAAAAATTAGCCAGAGGTGGTGGCGCACAGCTGTAATTCCAGCTGCTCGGGAGCCTAAACCACAAGAATCACTTGAACCTGAGAGGCAGAAGTTGCAGTGAGCCAAGATCACACCACTGCATTCCAACTGGGGTAAAAGAGCAAGACTCTGTCTCAGGTGGCAGATTTTTCAGTGGAAACCTTACAGGCCAAGAGAGACTGGTATGAAATATTTGCAGCACTGACAGGAAAAAAATTTTTTTTACCCTAGAATAGTATATTGACTGAAAATATCCTTTAAGCATGAAGGAGAAATAAAGACCTTCTCAGATAAACAAAAACTGAGGGATTGCATCAACACCAGACCTGTCCTATAAGAAATGTGGAAGGTAGTTCTTCAATCTGAAAGAAAAGGATGTTAATGAGAACAAAGAAATCATCTGAAGGTACAAAACTCACTGGTAACAGTAAGCACACAGAAAAACACAGAATAATATCACACTGTAATTGCTGTATATAAACTTCTCTTGACTTAAGTAGAAAGGCCAAACAAGGAACCAATCAAAAATAACTAAAAATAAATAAAATAATAATTACAACTTTTCAAGACAGGCAATAAAATAAGATATAAAAAGTACGGTCGGGAGCGGTGGCTCAGGCCTGCAATCCCAGCACTTTGGGAGGCCGAGGCAGGCAGATCACTTGAGGTTGGGAGTTCGAGACCAGCCTGACCAACATGGAGAAACCCCATCTCTATTAAAAATACAAAAAATTAGCCGGGCATGGTGGCACATGCCTGTAATCCCAGCTACTCGGGAGGCTGAGGCAGGAGAATCGCTTGAACCCAGGAGGCAGAGGTTGTGGTGGGCTGAGATTCTGCCATTACACTCCAGTCTGGGTAACAAGAGCAAAACTCCATCTCAACAACAACAATAAAAAAAAAACAAAGTAACATGAGGCCAGGCGTGGTGGCTCATGCCCGTAATCCCAGCACTTTGGGAGGCTCAGGTGGGCAGATCACCTGCGGTCGGGAGTTTGAGACCAGCCTGACCAACATGGAGAAGTCCTGTCTCTACTATAAATACAAAATTAGCTGGGCATGGTGGTGCATGCCTGTAATCCCAGCTACTTGGGAGGC